CCCCAGTCTATCCCTTCCCACCCTCTACCCCGCTGGTAACCACAAGTCTGTATTCTCTGTTCTTGAGGAATATGAACAGAAAGAGAACCAATCTGCCCTGCAAAACTCCAGAGGGTCAAAATGCTAGATATAGAAAAAGGTAAGCATATGACTCATTAGGGTTAAAAATATAGTAATTAATTGCAAGTTAGCATAAGGCAAAAACGTAGTAAGAATGTACTATCTCCTAATTACAGTTAAACTAAGTTGTAAGTTCTATGCTTGGATATTTCAAGCATGGAATCTCTGTCTGCCTCTAGAAGAGTCCAAGAATCTCAGATCCAAAAAGGATCCTCTACTTTCTTGCTCCCAGTCTTAGCACAGAAAAGCGTCTTTTTAAAAGGCAGTCAAATATCTACAAGAATGGAGTAGTCCAGAGAATCTATAATCAAGTAATATAAAATAATGTACATGACTAAGGATATTTACACTATTCGTAGTTCCTAACATAGGTGTCACATTTTACTTCAACTAGACTTTATTGAGCATATATCCTGAGTTTGGTTTTGATGGCCACCAGAAATTCTAAGACTTGGTCCCTGCTCATAAGAAGCTAGAACATACAATCCTAAGGAAGGTAACTCAGAAAACAAGTTGAGCAGAAAATCCAGACTATTCTTTCTCAACCATAATTTTAAGTTCAACTCAGCTAGTCTACAAAAGACAAATACAGATTCAAAACTAAACAAAAGATATTCACTATTTAAAATTAGAACTTTACTCCTTAGCTTTCTGCTTTGCATTGGACCTTGTCTGCAAGTGCTAAATGGTCAACCAAAGAAAGTACTATTGAATCAGAAGCCAGATTCTACCATTAGCCTTTGGACAAACCACATCACAGCTGAGGTTAGATTTTCTCAGGGGAAAAAAAAAGACTAGGGAAGATTAAACTTGAAGGTTTCAAACAAAAGCGAAATTATAAGACTATGATGATGTAAACTGCTATTTATTTCCCACTTAGCTGAAATTATAGTAGCAACCACTGATGACTGAATGCCTACTATGTTTCAGGTATGAGATTCAACTCTCTCAACAACGTAATGATGTAGGTACTATAAACATGGCGAAAACAGAAGCAGAGAGATTGGCTTACCAAATATTACACAGCTCATAAATACTGGGGACTGTACTGAGACCACCATGCAAAGTCCCATGTTTCTTTCCCTCTCAAAAAAGTTTCTATTATGTACTATTCACAACTATTATTTCTCCACAAATCTAAATAGATATTAAAAACTCAAACTTGGAGAAAAAAAAAGTAAAGTCAACCCATTTTGCAATTCAATGTATCAGAGCTGAAAACGTTCACTACATACTCACCTGATGCAGCAGACGTTTCAGTTTGAGTAACTGAGTTTTGACAGCGGTGCAATCCTGAACCATGTGCCGGAGGGTCATCTCATCCAGTACCACTGTATTTTCTGGGACATCTACAAACATCTTCTGAGCCTGGAAAAAGGGGGTGCCTCCATAGCTTTCAAAATGACCCAAAGGAGATTCTCTATAGGGAGAGCCTCTGGAAGGGCAAGGGAAGAAGTTGGAGGGAAAAGACACACAATATAATTTCAGAAAGAACTAAAGGTAATGAAATTATTACAATGATTATTACAAATCGTTTGTCATTATCACAAAACCTTTGACTTTCACTCACCTCAGACACTGAACTTGTTTCCACTGAAAAGTCCAATCAACTCGAGTTGTCATTAATACAATTATCATCTGTACTCCCTGCCTTTTGAGTATTTTACACATTGGGTAAATAAATCTTATTCCTTAAGAACTAGAGCACAAACAAAAACCTCTGGGGAAAGGTCTTGCCTGAAAAAAATTATACTTATGTTCCTTTTTGGCACTGATTATCTGGTCTTTAGCTTTTAATTTTAATTACCCTCTTACCTGACATCTTTTTTAGTCGTGTAACTATGCTGCCCTCGTTAATTACCAGTTTGAACACACCTCTGGACTCCTATTTCTTGAAAGTCCAGGCAGACAGTTAAGACAGGTACACTGTTATTCTTCTTTTGTTTTTACATTGTTGATAAACCATCTTTTCCAATAAAGATTAAACAAGATTTTATAAAAGTCTTATATACACCATGTTTCCTAATCTTAAACTACCTTAAAAAATTCTACCCTAAAAAAATTTAAACTTCCCTTTAGTTTCATACAATAACACACAGGCTGAATAAGTGTGGGGGAAAAAAAAAAACCACCTAGGGATTATCTGTTTCATGGACATAAGAAGCACAATGTTTTAAGTAGAAGTCATAGCTACAGTAATTAAAAATTACTGCATTCACATTACATATAATTCCCGCTGTTTTTTAAGATAAGAATTTGTTATATATGTGAAATCTCAATATTTAAAATAACAAACTGAAAAAGTATTCTCTCCAATATAATAGCTATGTGAACATATGAGGATTAAAGTTAAATTGATTGATCCATTAAATTTCAACTATATTAAGAAAGCAGAAATACAGCTTCTATTAAATTTTCCAGCTTTAAAAAATATGACCAAATCTCTAAATTCTCAAATATTCAACATGAGCTTGGTACTTTCTGCTCAAAATTTCTGTAAACCCAAAGCTGTTCTAAAAAACAAAGGCTATTAATTAAAAAAAACAACAACAAAGAAAGTCATGACAGAAGAAGGAAATACAGAATGGTAGAATAAAAGATCTCCAAAACTCTACTCCTCTATAAAAGCTCTGAGAACACTGGCAAACTTCTCAAAGTCAACTTTTTCAAAACTCTGAAATCAACCAAATGCTTGCAACAATTGAAGAGCACTTCCTGGCAAAAAAAAAAAACCTACTAAATCTCATGAGAAGAACAAGCTCTATGGCATTTTAATTTATTCTATTTCCCTCCCTATCTTCCTAGTTCTGTGGTAGCTTGAAAAACAAGAGCTTTACAAACTTGGTAGCTGTGAAATTCAGTAGTCTCTAGGGGGTGGGATGGGACGTAAACTGGGTTTGGAACTCTCCAAAAAGCACCATTTCCGGAGAACTGTTACTATTTGACCTAAATGGCACCTCCCTAGAAAAGGCCCATTCTCAGCTGTTGTTTAACTTGACCTGATTCAGAGCTCCCTCAGTAGAAACACCCTTATCTCTAGTACATTTGCTTAAAAAAAGAAAAAATCAGTGGCAATTGTTTAAAATCTCAGGAATCTCAGAGATTCCTTAAAAAAATAAAAACAGAGTTACCATATGATCCAGCAGTCCCACTCCTGGGCATATATCCAGAGAAAAATGTAATTTAAAAAGATACATGCACCCCAATGTTCAAAGCAGCACTATTTACAATAGCCAAGACATAGAAGCAACTTTACTGTCCATTAACAGATGACTGGATAAAGAAGGTGTGGCATATATATAATGGAATTCTACTCAGCCATAAAAAAGAATGAAATAATGTCATTGGGAGCTACATGGAGGGACCTAGAGATTATCATACTAAGTGAAGTAAGTCAGACAGAGAAAGACAAATATATATCACTTATATGTGGAATCTAAAAAAATGACACAAATGAATTTATTTACAAAACAGAAACAGACCCACAGAACATAGAAAACAAACTTATGGTTACCAAAGGAAAAAGGGCGAGAAGAGAATAAGTTCAGGAGTTTGGGATTAGCAGATACAGACTACTATATACAGAATAGATAAACAACAAGGTCCTACTGCACAGCACAGGGAACTGTGTATTCAATAGCTTGTAATAACCTACAATGAAAAAAATATGAAAAAGTATATATGTATAACTGAATCACTATGCTGTATACCAGAAACTAACACAACACTGCATATCAACTATTCTTCCATTATAAGTCAAATCAAATCAAATCAAATTTCAGCTGCCAGAGATGGCAATACCAGTTGGGGCAAACAAGAAGGTGACCAAAAAACTTAAACAGAAAAAAGGAACAAGTTGTTCATAGGAGGCTTTGGAAAGCTCCAACATACTGCTGGGCATACAGAAGGCCATACACATGCGTAGGGCTGTGTGCATGGCAAGGAAATACCTGAGAAGGCCTTAATCTCTCACCTTTGGCTGACCTTGAGCCTCTGAGCAAGCAGTAAATGAAGGCTAAAACAGTGCTGCAAAATGTTTATCAGGTTGTTGAAGGCATCCCTGAACATACACACCCCTTGGCAAAGACTGGGAAACGTATTTGTTCAAGACATTTAAGGAAATCGCTTCATCAGCTCAACAAACTCCAAAATATGATAAACTGAAAGAGAGACGCATTATGGTTAAACTGTCAAAAGTCAAAGAAAAAGTGAGAATCCTGAGCGCAGGAAGAAAAAAGTAATTTATCATGTAGAAGACATGCTCCATAAGATTAACAGCTGATTCATCAGAAAGCACAGGGCTCAAAAATATTAAAAGAAAGATTGTAAATGAAAAATTCTATATCCAGCAAAACTAACCTTTAAAATTAAAAAGAAACTAAAACATTCCCAGATAAACACAAACTGAGAGAATCCGTTGTTATCAGACCTTCTCCACAACATATACTGAAGCTGGAGGCTTCAATACATCCTTTCATCAATGGATACAACTAGGAAGAAGGTCAGCAAAGAAATAGAAGACTTGAAGAATGCTGCAAACTAATAAAATCTAACAGACATCCACAGAACATTTAAGAGACTAGACTAAATTACTAATTAAAAAGCTTGCCACAAAGAAAAGCCAAGGCCCAAATAACTTCAATGGTGAATTCTACAGAACGTTCAATGAAGAATTAACAAAAATCTCTCAAAACTCTTCCAAAAATAGAAGTGAGAGGAACACTTCCCAATTCAATTGTGTAAAATATTAAAACCACAAAGACATCTCGAGAAACTACAGAGCAATATTTATTGTAACTGTATACAGAAAAATCCTCAGTATACTAGCAAATGAATATAACAACACATAAAACGATTATATACCATGACGAAGTGGGATTTACTCGAGAAATGCAAGGTTGGTTCAACACTGGAAAATCAGGCAGTGTCATATATCACATTAAGAGAATGAAAGGAAAAGTGATTATCTCAAGAGACAAAGCAGTAACATTTGACAAAATCTAATACTGTTTCATGATAAAATATGAATAGAAGGGAACTTTCTCAACTTGATAATGAATATCTATGAAAAACCCACAGCTAAGATCATACTTAACAGTGAAAGACTGAACACTGCTCCTACTATCAAAAACAAGCCACAGATGTCTGCTCTCATCACTCCTATTCAACACTGTACTGGAGGTTCTTGCCATAGCAATTACACAGAAAAAAAACAAAAGTATCCAGATTGGAAAGAAAAAAGTAAAACTATTCTCAGATGACAGATCTTGTATCGAAGAGAATCCTAAGGAACTAGGGAGCCAGGAGGTTAAATGAATCATGCACATGAACACTGGAGGCTACAATCAAGGTTCTAGCAAAGCTCACCATGAAGAGGGAAAGTGAACCAAGGACCAAGATTTTTAAGAGCTAGGGAGAGGGACCATTAAGGAGGGATTGATGCAGTCAAATGCCCTAAATCTCCAAGGAAAGAAGCTTAATACTTCATTTAGAAGTAACAATGAGGAGTCAAGGCAAAGACCCTGCCTCTAAACAAAGTACCAGAGTGACTAGAAAATAAGAATCCTTCATGTAAGAAAGCTTCTGGGGAATTAGTGCATTTAGGGAAAAATTACAATTAGGAGAATGTAGGTAAAGAGATTGAGAATATGGGTTTATTAAGACATGAAAGAACTTCATATTGCTTAGTGGAAGGGGTAGGGAAAGGGGGAGGTCTGGGGAGAAAAGCAGAGTGAAAGGTTAGGCCAGGTGAAAAGAGACAGCAGTACTGACAAAAATATAGAAAAAGTAGATCAGTGGTTCTGAACCCCCAATCCCCTGAGTTATAGAGAAGACATAATCCTATAATTAATTACGACAATGATGGGAACTGAAGGACAGACAGGAAAGGGAGCCAGCAACACTTAAGAAGTCATACGATGGAAGAGGAACTTTTATACACATTAAAAGGCCCTGAGGTTAGTGCATCCAAATCTTTTTTTAAAAATCAAGGCATAGAAACAAAATAATAGTTTTAAGGTTTGCTGGAGTAAGGCTTATCTTGGATGAGGTTTCTCTCTCTATCACCCATCCCCATAACTGGCTCTGAGAAATCTAGGAGTCCAAGACCCCTCACAGCCACCTAAAACCCCGAGAGGATCAATAAACTGGCTAACCCATAACTAGTCACAACAAACCAATGTGTGTCAGTCCACTTGTTGGGAAGTTCTGTGCTGAGTGAGTCAGATTAGCAACCCCCAAGAATGCTGTGCATTTCTCTCTGCTCGCTGAGAATCACAAGTGTGGATGACCCGCAAATCACTAGCCCCTCAAGTACACTGTGTAGAAGGGATTTGTGGTCACGTGTTATTACATATTTTATCTTTTACCACATTTTGCAATATCACAGTACTATAATTATATTTATTAAAGCCACTGTGGAGTCTATTATTTAAAAAAAATTTAACTTCATTTAACTTGTTCTTCCTATACTCATCTGATCAGAGTCCCTCTCTTCTATACCTATTGACATCCCAGAATATAGTTTTTGGAAAATGTTGCTTAGCTTTTCTGACAGATAACTAATCAACCTCAGCTTAATCATTCCACGGACAGAGATTGCTACCTCCATGTAATTCATTCCATTTTGGACATTCTAACCAATAGTCTCACAAAGCTGAAATTTAAAACGCATAGATAGTTTTGCTGTCCAGTGAGATCCCATTTATTTATTCCTCCAAATGACCCACCAATCCAGCTATGAATCTCAGAGTAGTTTTCTGAAAATGTCATACTGTTTCATACATGGTTTTATACATGCTGTTTTTTCCATCTGAATACTTATCCTTCTATGGAAACTGATCCTCTGCAATTGCTACAATCATACCTATCAGTTCAATAGTAACTTTCCTCATACACCACTGTCCTAGACAGAAACCTGCATGCTCCTGGAGTCCTACATACACTTCATCAGGACACCTATCATTCACCGTGCTAACAACGCATCGTAACTGTCTACACACCTGTCTCTCCTACAGGCTCAACACCTTGGCAGCAAGAGTATTTACATCTTTTACAACTTTGTACAGGATGGAAACAGCCCAAGAATCTTCTACCTACCTGATAACTGCAATGATTCTAATAGAGCTCAAGCACTGCAAAATCCTATTTATGGTCCTCAAAACTATGCACCAAGAGGCCATTACCAATCTATAGTTTTCACCTCTCACACCATCTCCAAATTCATCTCAGCTCGAGAATTTAGAACAAAGCTCAAATACAGATTCTCAATGAGTACATGTTAAATGGCTGAATAAATCTTATAAGCAAAGGTTCTTTGTTAGGCTTCTAAATTTTCGTAAGTTGGCTTTAAATTTACCTTCTTATGAACCAACCATCAAAGATGTAGGAAGCATAATCTCCCTTATTAGCAAAGACGACTACCTTTACATCAGATTCTTGCCTGATAATACCAACACTCTAATGTCCATTCCTTATCAAAAGTCCAGATGTGAGAAACAGAACAGCTAAAATAATGCCTGGGAGGATATGTACTCCACACATTCTTCCAGATCTTCTAAATTTTATTCCTGCATCAAATTTTACCAGCAGAAAGATTGTTATTGGACCTTATTGTTTCACAATCCACTGTAGAATCGCCTTTTCTCACTTGGACTAGAGTTCTTTGTAGCATGAATTAAAGAACACAAATAAGAAACGAAGAATTTATCACTATTTTTACTTTGAGAAGCTGCCTGAGGCCTGCCCACTATATCATGAAGTATTCTCCTTTTAAGAACTCATGCAACCTCTTACAGGTTTCTGTCTCACAAAAGCACATCAGTTGCTTTTATCAACTGAAGAGAAACATATCCTTTATCTTACGTATGTTGTAAATCTTGCTACAAAGAATCTCAGAGCCATCTTTTTTCTTACTTCAAGAACTACACAGTGCTTTAAGTCTCCTGCCTTCCATTATTTCTATATCCCAATTTTATTATTTGTATTGTAAATGTGCTCCAAAATGACCTCAAATCCCTAGGCGAATGAGATGAGAGAGTAAAAAGGAAAAAAATCAATAATAACAACTGCCTTTGGGTGCTACAGTAAGCTAGACACTGCTCCTGGCACTTTTATTCCTGATTCTTGAGCACTGAGACAAAGGTATAATTAACTATGCTTTACAGATGGTGAACAGAAGTAGAGAGGGGTTAAAAAAGTATGTGAGCTCACAAAGCCAAACTGTGTAGGGTCAGGGTTTGATCCCAAATTTGCATGACTACATAACCACATTACATATAAGGCCTGATCAAACTAAAGACTATGCGATGCTTCAAAACAAAAAAGAATTCTAGCAGAGCATTAACATTTTAATTTATTGTATAAGCAAAAGAAGAAAAATCACTTGGCACTAATTTTATTTATTAATATATTAAAAATAATAAACTTTAACAAAGTCACATTTGATGAACTGGAAAACACACCAAAATTTAAAGTCCAAACAGCAGACATAAACATTTATATTCATGACAAAGCTAATGAAAAAAGACTTGGGCCAAAAGAAACAAATTAGACATACTATTCTAATTAGTACCACATATAACTTGAAATAGCTTTTGGTGCCTCTAAAAACCAGACAAAAAAAACAGTTTTGGGGATCGAGGGGAAAAATGATTCAAAACTAATTAGAAGACAGAAAATGTAATTTAAATTAGACTCACCTGCTCAAGTCACTTTTTCCATGGTGATGATAGTGGTCAGGATGGCTGAGGTGGTAATGCTCCTGTCCACTCCACCTCTGGGGTGGCCTTTTCCAAAATCCTTCCTGAGACTGCCGAACATTTCTGTCTGATCGGTCAAAGCGGTTCATATTGTCACACTCCACTGGACAAATTCAAAAGCGAAACACTATAAACACATACACACACTCTATAAAAGTTAACTACTTATAGCTTGATAATTAAATGCTGCTGAAAATATAAAAGTAATATTTTAAAAATACCAGCCATTTATGTTAGCTAAGCACAAAAATCAAGATTTCCAGAAGAAAAATAACTAGTTCTTTTGTTGAAAACTGAACTTTGTATTATTCAAACTGAAGTAAATTACAAAACTTTCACATCACAGTCACTTAGGTAGCAACAGTCTCACTGTTTTTAAACAAGCAAATTATCCTTGAACCAACATTATACATTTTAAACACCCGTAATCAGTTTTAAGTGGTTTTCATCATTATCACTAGTTGGCTCTGACTCCAGAATGAAAATGCCAAGAAAATGTAGAAGATTTTTAAGTCTCGCAGAGAACTCATTTGTAAAAATGAGTGCCATAGTTAATTGTCACTGATTTCAAGAAGCACAAATTAACTTTTCATCACAAACAAATCGTATTTTTTTTAAACGAAGCTCGCAGTTTTAGAAAGTAAAACGCTTCAATCTGCCAGTAGTAGAGCTTGTTCAAAAAGTCTAAAATGCAACTGAAAACAAAGCCAGTACTTTGCAGCCACAAATAGTGCACTCCCTGAAATCTAAATGCCACAAAACATGAGAAGAATCTCTTTGAAACTCCCCAAGCTTCTCCTGCACTTACCCAGACACTTCTTCCTCACATATCTGAGCGCTCACCAAGAGAGTCACTTTGTACAAGGGAGACATTGTCGCCTGCTGCCTACTCAGACATAGTTGCATACAAGGCACTGACAAACAGGCCTTCCTTCCTGCTCAACTCCCAGCCCTCCCTGTGGGAAGCGAGCCCAGTTTACCCTGTGACTCCATCTTCGCTCAGTGCTTACATAGCTACTGAGTTAGGACTGTTACTAAAAATACAACTAAACACTAACCCAAGCCAGGAAAAGGAAAGGTTTCTCTAGTCTGAAAATTATTGCATGAGAAAGTTCAAATCCTGCACATTCAGAATTCCATGTGAAAAGAAAGCTTTAGAAATCAATGTAATCCTCCTCAATTAAAAAAAAAAACTCATTTAAAAAAATTCTTATTTTTTTATTGAAGTGTAGTCAACTTACAATGTCATGTGTACAGCAATGCAATTCAGTTATATATATACATACATACATTTTTTTTCAGATTCTTTTCCATTACAGCCTATTACAAGAAATTACAGTTCCCTGTGCTATACCATAGGTCCTTGTTTATCTACTTTATATATAATAACGTGTATCTATTAATCCCAAACTCTTAATCTATCCCTTCCCCGACACCTTTCCCTCTGGTAACTATAGTTTGAGAAACTCATTATTTAAATAACTGTTTTCACTTAACCTAAACCTGAATTTGATATATGAAACTGTTTCATTACAGTATAACAGATTAAAAACAAACTTCTCCACTCAAAAAAAAAGGCTGATACAGTTAAAGTATAGACATTCAATTTTCATATACACTGAAGTCACTAACATATTACTTGAAGATGGTAATAATTTAAGTAAAGGTTTTAAGAGACATTAAAATTTTATTTATTAGAAAATTTCCATGAGAGAAATCAATTTTGGGGGGAAAACTATAGGTTTTATAGTTTAAAAGTTTTTAAAGAGAAAAATTTTATAGAAGACATATCCTGAAATTATTTCAAACAATTTCTTGTCATCTTATTGGGATAAATTAAGATATATACTTTTTTATTAAAGTGTAGTTGATTTACAATGTTGTGTTAGTTTCAGGTATAAAGGTGACTCAGTTATACATATGTGTGTGTGCGTGTGTGTGTGTGTGTGTGTGTGTGTATGTTCAATTATAGAAAACCTGACTGTTAGATAAATAAAAGCATGGTGATCATTATACTGAAAAAAATCAGGAGTCGAAAAAAGATTGTAGAAGAAAAATAAATTGAGAAATAATTCGAGGAAGGCTTAAAACTGCTTTTAGTTCACATATGCATTTCACTCATAGACAGTTCCTAAAGTATTTCTACGTGGCATTAAAAGGTTACTTTAGTTTAAGCAACTCTATATAGCTGAAAGATAATCTATATTTACTTTTAAATATGAATTCCTATTTCTTTTTAATTCATGCAGGCAAAATTACACTCACTCCCCAAAGAAGAAATTCTGTAGCAAGAACCCGATAAATAATGAGGATACCGTCAACACCGTGCACGCAGAGTAATAAGAAATAAACTAACCAGGAAAACAAGCCAGGAGATGGGGTTAAATACTGCAGGAAATTACAATGCAGAAATTCATGTGTTGCTTTTATATTTACTAAAGATTGTTGGTACTACACACAGGCTCCAAATTAAAGCAACTTTACTGAAACGTGAACCATGGGCATCATGGCAAATAAGCACTGGAAACAAACATTTTCCATGACCACAAGAGACTATTGTTAGAATTAGGATAGAAGGGGCTTAAACTCTGAAAGGAATGACTGCTCCAAGACTCTAAAGGAAGGAAGGGTCCTGCTGGTACTACTACCTGAAGCACCCACCAATCATGTTTGATATACTTTAAAAGGCTACTAGGAAGAGAATGCAAAATAACATTAGTGGTGGTTTCTCAGAAAAGGCTAAGGACTCTCTGGCAGAACAAAAGAAACAATATGGAAAATAAAATGGAAAGCCAATAAAATGACAAGATGGAGTTAATTTAAAACCAGTTTTCAGACCCAACGAAGGAACAGGACAAACAAGACTAAGAAAGGAAATAAATCCTTTTGAATGTGTAATACCATAGGAAAGGATGGGGCAAAGCTAAAAGCATTCCAGTTCAAAAAAAGTTTTAACCCAACATGCTGATCAAAACTATCATATACTAGATCTGACTTTAACTGTGAGTTTAGGAATGGAGAATAAAGAAAGGCCTGCTGAAGAAGGTTTCTAGCTCCAAAAGTAAAAGGCAGAGGATTTTAGTAATTCTTTTACTATGAGTAGGAGATAGATAGTATCAGGACTTCAACCCTCTGGAGAAGGAGAGAGAATCTAAGCTTATTGAAGGCTGTGAGACATGGAGATACCTATGTCTAATACACCTCATACCCATTTCTTCTGATTTAATGAAGGAGCAAACTATTATGTCAAAGGTAACCTAGATTCTTTCTGGGATAACTTAAAGTCCTAAGAAGAACTTTAATGGATGACACAGGTAAGTATTTCTGTCTATTACTAACAGTTGGCTATGAAGATAGCAGTTAGAAATTACACATCACAAAAGTCTGGGAAAAAAATGAGCCCGGCAGGAGTTACAATCTGAACAGGAAAGCTTTTAAATGAAATTTGAATTGAAAGAAGAAAAGCTCATGTTAAAAAAAAAAATCAGGAACTTGTTACTAATAATCACAATTAGTACTGAGAAAGAAAGATAAATTTCCGGAAGAAAATACAGTAACCAGAAAAGTGGTCAAGGACAATACTACTGACCTCACATGACTATATCCCAATAAAATATTTAGCAAAAATATGGGCTTAGAAAATATAATATGAAATAAGTGCAATATAATAAGCAGCATAACTGGGTGGAGTAGGATTCAGGAAGTAATTATAAAGACATCTTTCTCAGCAGAGAAAAGTTTAAAACAGAACAAGCAGATGAAAGAGCACATCTAAGAAAATATACACTATGGAATTTTCATAAACCCTGATGGTGACACTATGAATGTGTCAAATGCTAGACTTTAATCTATAGGCAATGAGTGACCATTAGAAGTTCTTGAGCAAGACAATAAAGCAATACAGCTATGCCTTTGATACAACAAAACTGTTTATTCGAGAGACATTTTAGGACAAGAAGGGAGCAAATCTCAAATACTCACTGGTCTGCTAAAAAGAAATCCAGATTCCACAATTGTATCCTTAAGAGATTCCTTGACCAAGGTAAAAGAAAAATAAAAAAGAAAATGATCTCTCTTTTTAGATTCTCCCAAATCACAATTCAAATCTAAAGTACTTTCTCCTTTTATTCCTCTTCCCTCATTCTATGCTCCATTTCCCTCTGTCCCCACTCTCCCTTTGACCTCCTCTCCTACCCCTCAAACTGGCCAGAAACTTTAAAAGCTCTATACTTCTTAAAGTTAACTTTCCTTCAGAAGAAGGGAAAATCCCCTGAAGGTTGATTTTCAGATCTGGTCTCATTCTGAGATGAGATCCATAGTTACATACTTTCTAAGGTCTAAACAAGACTGGGAGAAATTTGTAGAGGAATTTAGAATAGTTTTAGGAAGTTATGCTGAGGAATTTAGAGTAGTTTTGATGATCCAGGCCCCAAGACCTATACCAATTAGTTCATACATTAGAGGAAACTCTAGGTGCAAAAAAACAGAATGGAAAAAGCACAGTGTATAAAACTTAAAGTTGACTTAAGAACCCATGACTGTGTAGAGGAAGAAAGTTTTTCTCAATTTTCTTAGAGTCTAAAAATAAAACTGGCAACAGATTAATGGCAGAAAAGTATACAAATTTATTTAACATAATATGTGACATGGAGGCCTTCATGAGGAAATGAAGACCAAAGAAACAGGTAGACCTGTGTATTTTTACGCTAGGTTTGATAAAGAGTGGACAGTCGAGGAGGAACATGACAGGTTAAGGAGTATGAGAAGAGTGTGGTAAACTGGGGGAAACTTGGCAAGGTCTGTTAGGATCTTCTTGATCTCACTCTGTCTTCAGAGATAAGGATGCTTCTTTCCTCTAGTATGAGGAAGGCATCTCTCACATGAAGGTTTTATGACCTGTTTCAGGGAAGATGGGTGAGAAGAGGAGGAAGTCAAGCGCGACTCTCCTGCTTCTGCCATTTTCTCAAACTCCTTCAGCAGCAAAGGAAATCAGAAGTTAGAAAGGCCTTTCAGAGGCTATCAACAAAGTCTTTTCTGTGAATTCAGATTGGCTGTCGCTCAGTTCTGTAAGCAAAGAAAGAATAAATCCACTACAGACTTCCAGGATATACTAACACGTTTAGATAGCATTAAGGAATAGACTCTGAAAGAGATGTGACCTCATCACTCTCCTCACTTTCTGTGAAAGATTTTAAGGCAGAAATTGGGTAAACAGCCTCATTGCCAGACTTCCAGTGCTTGGAAAGAGTCTTAGAAAAAGGAAGAATAAGACTCAGAATAAAATGATGTCCTTCACATATAACAAGTAGATGCCTCGATCCTGGTAGATTAAAGACTGGAGGAAGGAGTCTCTTAATACTCTCATAGTTACTATAAATAGTGGGGCATTGAAAAAATAAGTATCTTACATTGCCTAAGAAATAAAAGAGAAAACATAAAGTAGGTGGTTAATCAAAGTGTTCTTAGGGGGAAATCAAGCACCTAATTTCTGGTTTTACCCTTAAACTCAAAGATAATTTTTTCTCAGCATTGTAATATATTCTTGATATAGGCATTAAAATATCAACTTTAAACCCTGTGATTATTACATATCCTCCCCTCAGTATCACCAATAACCCAGTTGGAGTTATCGGATTGTAGATTATCTCCAATAACTCAGTTTCCAAATCCTAGCCCAAAACTGCCCAAGAAACATTTGACCAACAAACATTCTTTCCTCATCTGTGCTACCACATATGCTACCTTAATAAGTAATGACTGACTACACAAATGCAACTGCCAGATAAATATTCTCCTCATTGCCTCTTCCTTGAAATCCCCCTCTCCTATTCATAATGAAGTCACAGCAAACTTGTGTCCAAATCAAACCCAAACTGAAGATCTCTACAAGTGCCAGTCTTCTTGTTAACAAAAATTCCACTGATACTGGCAGAATTAGTGGGGCTGAACCCACCAAATCCAGAGTGATCCCTCCAAAACTCTACCCAAACTTGCATAATGGCCTCAAAAACCAGAAGCTGAAGGGAACCAAAACCAATAGTCAAAGTATATTAGAAGACACCTTCAGCCTTGTACCAGTCTTTCTGACATTCTTATCCTCTCAATCAAAAAACTCAGCAGAAGTGGGCACAGTCATTCAGGACCTCAGATCTATAAAGAGAAGATTCACTCCCTCCTTCCCATTAGGACCAAATCTAAATACTGTTTTATCTTTGGTGCCTCTGAAGGCTACCTATTTCAGATGCAGGTTCTGCTTTCTTCAGTGTTCCATTAGCTCACAATAGTCAGTAATTGTTTGCTTTCTCCTAGGAAGATCTCTAATATATATGAGACGTTCTACCTCAGGAGTTCCTGCCTACGTTTTACAAGTCCCCAAGACCTCAAAAACTTTCAATTTCCTTTTGATTCTTTTACCTAATACATAGATAACTTTTTTTTGTGTGCTCTAAAGATGAGGCAGGGCTCGAAGACCAATTCCGTCTCTCTACTTCCTGTTTTAGCTCAGAAAGGGTATAAGGTTTCCAAAGAGAATTTGTTATAGCTGTGTCAAAGTGAAATGCATTATCTAGGATGTAATTTACTCCAAGGAGGTAAATCCCTCACTTCTCATTATCAGCCCTTAAAACTTCACATTAAATCTCCTGGATCATCAAGTCTCATTATTTTTCCCCTATAATCGTTAATGGTTTATGCTTTTCCTCTGTGGTCTGTAATATTTTTCCATTTGATCTTCCAGGCCACTAATTCAGATTTCAACACCAGCTATGTTTCCTGTCATCTATTGAACTGTTCTGTTGGGAAATCTTTTATAATAAGCTCCACAAAGCACTGTGCTGCAACTGAATCTAAGTGTTCTCAATATTACCTCTTTGGGCCATTCTAATCCCTCTGGTCCTGAGAGTTCTGCTCTTTTCCTAGGTATTGGCTGTGATTTTTCTTTCTCAGTTGACTAGAACTCAGCACTGATTTGCTAAAGTATCCCAAGTGACAGCAGAACCACAAGAAGGTGCAATGGTCTCTATCCCTGCGGTAGAACAGACATTGTTCTCAGCTCTACACTCTGTCCTTCAATACAATTATACATCCAATGTCTTTAGCCGCAGAGCTTCTTACAGTGAATAGAGTATACTTCCCAGTCCCAATGGTGACAGGCTTGGCCTATAACTTGCTTTGGCCAAGAGAATGTGGGAGAAGTAACAGTGTGCTGGTTCTAAGTGAAGATGTCAAGAGATATCATAAGCATGTTTCTGCTCACCCTGTTGTCCTTCTGCCATCTGCCATGAGCATGGAATAGACCTGAAGTCAGTCCCAAAGCCTGAGCTGTCCCAGCTAATTCAAAGATCCATAAATGAGAAAAAAAAATGTGTATTTTGAAAGCTACTGAGAGTGACTATTACATAGCATCCTGGCAACGGGAAAAAATGGGGGGAAAAAAAACCTGACTAACATGACAAATGTGAGCAGTAAGCAGGCTCCTAAAACCTCAGTGAAGCACTACAACAACCAACCAGCCTCTCTGAAATATCTTTTGCATTTTTCTAGCATCATCTGTAAAAAGGACTTCACCACTCTCTTCACTTTACCCCTGGCCCGTGGAAATCCAGCAAATGTTGACTGACAGGATCCACAGCTCTCTGAGACGCTTCTTCCCAGGGAGATCCCCATTTCAACCCTTGCCCCAGGGGCTTTCTAGGCTGGTTGCTGGTTCCTGATCAGCCTTTAAGACAGAAAATCCTACAGATGCTATGGCAGTGGGGGCAAGAGCACCCAGGACCCCCTTGCACATGGATTACCTAAAGCCCCACTCCAGCACTTACTGGGATCCAGAGAGGAAAACAGACTGGGTTTGGGAATAAAAAGGACATAATGATTCATTCAGGTTATCATTTTCCCAGAACTGATTTTTTTTAATATTTATTAACTTAATGATTCCCACTGCTCTTTCGTAAGTCAAATGATATCTCTGTTTCTCTAAATGTATTTTTTCTTAAAATCAAAATGAGACAAAAGGAGGAAAAATTAGACATACACAAAAGAAGAAAAAGGATAAATCCTATCTACCACTTACTGTATGATATAGGTATATAATATTGGGTCATACAGAATTCTATCTAAGACCTATAAAGTCAGGGTTTTTACATTTAAATAAGTTTACAAATGAACTTATTTAACATCACTTAATATTGATTCTGAGTCTGAAAAGGCTACCTCCATGGACATTAGGAAGTCTGTAAATAACAAATATCAAATAGGATACAGTCAAGTAGCTCAGCTATACACTTTCACAAGTTCAATACTGTCCCCACTAACCATTTTCGAGAGGTGCATCCTCAGGTAGATCCACATCAAGCATAAGGTCATCATCCTCAAGGTCACATGATTCAAGATTATTCAGGATATCCTGTGAACAAAAGCAAAAAAAAATGCTATAACCTAACTCAATGTTATCATTAGATTTGAACATCACTACATGAGAATCTGATTTTACTCAATGTTTGTGTGGTTAAGTACAGATTTTAAAGATAAGAATTTTTTAATGAAAAAAAAAAAACAAACCAGGTTCAACTGGTTTACCTGGTTAAGCTATTTAAATAGCATCCTTTTCTGTGTCTTCTTCCCCACCAGTAGATTTTACTTTTTATTTTTAAAAACTTACACATTGCTCACTATCTGCAAGATATTGTTCTAAGCACTTTACAGGTATTAATTGATTTCTTCAGACTTCCCTATGATTTAGTGACTTGTGCAATCTCCATATTACAGATAAACTAATGCACAGAAAATCTAATCCCTGGCCAGAACAGGATGTGAACACAGGAGGTCTCCTAAGCCTGTGCTTTAACAACTTCCCTGGTAACGAGTCCCTCCTGGCTTCTATTTGCAATCTTGTTAGTTATCACCTATCCTTAGAAAGGTAGTGTTTTGCTTTTGAAGACTCTTATTCTGAAGTCTAAATAATGAAATGAACGAAAACTAAGTTTAAGGTAATGAACTCAGTTTAACCTATAGCCCACTAGTGAATCTCTCCAATCTAAGAACTGATCCAATACTGCAAGACCTTGCCTTAGTGTATGTAAGTAGAAAGATCACAAATCCACAAACCTTTAAATGGGACTGAGAGATTACAGTCTTGAAAAACTCTTAAAGAAAGGGAGTATATACTTTATTACAGACAATGTGAATAAAATTAGAAGTGCTCCTATACTGGATATTCCATACAAATCTTTCCAATTTTGTGTTTTTGGGCCTTCCCTCCAGGATCCACTGAGAACTAAGAGTAATTGGAATAATTATTATTATTTAAAACAAGCTAATAACTGCATAATTATTTAACTACGGCATAAGAAAAAAGTATTTTGCAGAACTTCTTTCCATCAAGAAATATTTGCTGTCCTTAATATAGTCTTCCTAAAAAAATCAAGAGAAAAAAATGAATATGAAAAAAAAACTGGCAAAGGCCATAATGAACAATTCACAAAATAAAAATAAAATAAACAACCAATAAATATGATGTAGGAAAGACTATTAACACACAAATGTGGCGCTATCATGATTTAGAGGAATCTAAAACTCATCTATACTCCAGATAGGATTAGATTCATACAAACCTTCTGGAGGCCAACTGGCTAAAATTTAGCTAAAACCTTTTCTTAAAAGGCAAATTCTTCCCTCCTAAGAATGTATCCCTTAGAAACAGATGAATGCAAAAACTATTATGTATAAGCATGGTTATCATAGCATTGTACAGAATGGCAAAAACTAGAAATAGGCTAAATGCTCAACAACAGAAAAATAGTTAAACAGGAAATATAGTCATACAACAGAATATTATGCAGTCCTTAAAAAGATAATAAAAATATTATTAGACATGGAAAGATGTTAATTGGGGAAAAATACAAACTAGTTTGTTTCTAATCTTTTGCTCTTTAAATAATGTTCCAGTGAATCCCTATATATCAACATTAAATTGAAATAAATCTACATATCAAGTTGATGGCATAACAGTCAGACTATTTCAAGTGGGAAAAAAATTCCTCAAACCATTTTCAGTAATTATACTACAGATGGTAAAATGGAGAATATTCTGAGGTTGTTGTATATACATGGGTATAAATGAGTTATACTGGTGTTTGCCAAAAAAATGGATTCTCATCTTAAGAAAAAGAAAATAAAGATGTAAAAAACAATGAAATTAAATAATTCTGTGCTATGTTCTTGAATGTAAATGGGAAATATCAGTATGAACACAAGATTTTTTCATCTTAAAAGAAAAAATACATTTCTTCCACTGAAAAGGCCTAGATGTTAACTTTAAAAAAAATTAAGACTCTAAAATAGCATGTACAGAATTACCCATTTTATGGGAAAAACTGCATAATACACATAGGAAAAAACTTGGAAGAAAATCAAAACATAGGTTAACTATTTTAGGATTATGGGTTTTTTCCTGTCTTTTTTTATTTGAGTTTTTGTATTTTTTCATTTTCTGCAATAAGCATTATGATTTATATAATTTACCCCGCAAAATCACATCCTCTATAAAAACATTCAGCTATTCGTACGTATGTGTGAAACAAGGTGATGCTGGGTACCCTAGGCCAAATCCAACAACTAAAGACACAGTAAAGAATCAAAGGCAATAGAACCTCATTTTCTAAATCCAAAGTAGGGCTTCCTGAGAAGTACGAGTCAGCACAAGAAGTACTGCCGTGACTTCCAAAAAGGTGCTCAACTTTTTAAACAACTAACTAAACTCAACATTTGTTTTGCGTGGTTTTCTGCAGGTTTCACTTTATAATGAAAGATTTAAAAACACAGTCTTAGAGAATGGGAATGAGCCTGCTCTAATGAATGCAAAAGGGGTGGAAAAAATTATGATATCATTTTGAGAAGTTACTAAGAAAGCTCAGAGGAAAAGGAAGGGGAACAGAGTTAGCATTAGTTACAGGGAGGGAAAACCATCCATATTTATGCTCCAAGTTAATGCTCATCAATAAATCATTACATACGATGTTTCAGAAATTTATCTAGACACATGAAAGGATGCTCTGCAAAATGGTGGGGAGGAACCAATTATATATGCACAATATAATTCCATCTTTAATGCTGTAAAATACATTTAAGTATTTGATGATGATAAAGCAAAGAATTATTATTTTCCATTGTGTGAGATAATGTGCTTAGGCTCTTTGTATTCTTTTTTATTTTGATTTTTTACACTTCTTTTTTATTTTATAATAAGGATGCACCACTTTTATAATAATTAAAGCTTCATGCTGAAAAAATGTCTACCTCCCTTGGCAACAGCAGGGACGTTCAAACCGCACAAACTTAGCCTGCATGTGGGAATCCTCAATCCAGCCCGTCCCTTAACCACAATGATAACCAGAGCTGCCTACCCCTTCCCTCTTCACTCCAGCCATTCTGCACCAGTTTGGGTGCCTGTCCTGGTGTTCCCAGAGAGTCTCATTACATGAGTAATAAATCTTCTCACATTCTCTTGGTACATGTGTGGCACCATCTTTCTGGACACCTGAACAAATTTGGGGGGAGGGGAATTGATCCTGCCCTTCTGGGTGGCAACCGTAAGACACACTTTCAAAAATTCAACACAAACAAAGACCAATATATGCGAGGCACAATTCTGGACACGAGCTATAGGCATGTAAAAAGACAATCCTGATCTTTCTTGAGAGTTTAGCTGAACTACTTCATGATATGGTTGCCCTGGCATCCATTTTGTGTGGCCAAGCAGTCAGCAGGAGCCTTGAACTGAAACTAGCCCCTCCCACAAGCACATGCCCTGGACAACAGCCCCAGAATCACAAGCAAATCCAAGTTCCTAATATGACTTCTCCAGCAGGTCTTGCGAACAAGTCTCTCTCCTGCCTCCCAGGGCCTTCCCCTTGCACAACGTTAGATAAGACCCCCGCGGAGCTTACCAAAACCCTGCACTTTTTGGTTTGAGTTGACCAATCAGGTCTTAGCTCAGGAGCCTCAAAGCACTCCAGCTATGGACCCTAACAATAAAAGCACATGCCCCCGGTTTGACAAGAGAGGCAGTGCTGAGTGAGAAGACTAGATTCTAATATCTGTCTGACACAGCATTCATTTTTATAGAAGGTCTCTATTTCTCCAACATTAGACTTTGAGAAGAGTTGTATCAGATACATTATTAGATCTTTCAGTAACGGTTCAGGCAAAGAGATAAGAAAAAATTAATCTATTATAATTTTTCTTCACCAGTTTACAAATCTGTCATCTGCACAGACTAAGAAAGGCACTATTATAGGAAGAAAGGAAGCCATGTAAGCATGGAGATTGCCTAACGTGGGAAAGAGTTGCTGTTTCATGTTTGTGATGGCAGGCTCTTTCTCTCACTGGCAAGCCTGCATTCCTTGGGAGCCAACATCCACATACACCTGTTTTAGTTGGGAGACCATCTAGCAAAACCACTACCTGGGAGTGTGAGTGTGAAAACCTAAATTTGTATGCTCTCTGGCTTCCAGAGGCTTCCCACAAGCCTCTCTGGAATTAAAACCCTGACTGAGCACATTAGCAGAAGTGCCACAGAACTTCCTTGGCCTCTGAGAATGCTTTTCCATTCAAAAAGGGTGAACTATGAGATGGTGGACTAGTGCTTCCTTCAACAAGTTTCTCCACTAATAAACTGGAGAAAGCCTAAATGTTTTTGACAATGAATGATACCATCACTAGAGTTTGTATTAATCACCATTAATCACCAGAGATAAACGAAAGGCCTGAAACCATAGAAGAAGAAAACATAGACAGTGCTCTGTTTCACATTAGTCTTAGCAATATTTTTTTAGATACGTCTCCTCAGGCAAGGTAAACATTAGCAAAAATAAACAAACAGGACTACATCAAACTAAAAAGCTTTTGCACATAGAGGAAAACTCTCAATAAAACAAAAAGTCAGCCTACTGAATTGAAGAAAATATATGCAAATGATACATCTGATAACAGGTTAATATCTAAAACACAAAAAGAACTCATATAATTCAACATCCAAAAAAAAACCCAATTAAAAAATGGGCTGAGGACCTGAACATTTTCCCAAAGAAGACATACATGTGATGGCCAACAGATGCATGACAAGATACTTAACATCACTAATCATCATGGAAATGCAAATCAAATTTCACACTTGTCAAAATGGTTATTATCAAAAAGTCAACAAATAACAAGTGTTGGCAAGAATGTGTAGGAAAAGTAACCCTCATGCACTGTTGGTAGGAATGTAAACTGGTACAGACACTATGGGCAATAGTATGGAAGCTCCTCAAAAATTTAAATACAACTACCACACAATCCAGAAATTCCATTTTGGGGTATTTTTCCAAAGAAAACAAAATCACACCTTTGTTCACTGCAGCGTTA